TGACCTGCTGTCTCAGGAGGTCTACTGCTTGCCCAGAGAATGAATCAGAGATGTCATGGAAGGATTACTGAGACTTATCTGGTCCTCTGACTACTACCCCAGGCTGCTCATCCATGTGGGCACCAATGATACTACTGGGCAGGGGGTGGGGGTGGACTCTGACCAGATCAAAGAAGTGACTACAGGGCTCTGGGTGCAAGGGTGAAGGGGCAGGGGCACAGGTCGTGTTCTTCTCAGTCCTCCAGTCAAAAGGGAAGGATCTGGGCAAGACTTCTTGCAGATCAATGTATGGTTGCAGAGATGTTGTCACTGGCAGGGTTTTAGCTTCCTCAATCATGGGACACTGCTCCAAGAAGGGTTGCTGGAAAGCAGTGGGATCCACCTGACGAAGAGGGAAGAGCATCTTCGCAGACAGGTTTGCTAACCTGGTGAGGAGGGCTTGAAAACTAGGCAATGGAGACCAAAACCCTGGGGTAAATGGGTGACCTGGAGGAAGCACAAGCAAGATGGGGCTACAAGGGAGGCCTTCTCATTCTTTCTGAGAAACTAGGGCAGTCTGCTAGTTACCTCACATGTCTGTGCATGAAGCTCGAGGGGAAAAAAAAGCAGGAAGAACTAGAAGTCCTCACACAGTAACAGAATTGTGATGCAACTGGAATAACAGACTTGGGATAGCTCACATGACTGGAGTACTGTTGTGGATGGGTATAAAAACTGTTCAGGAAGGGGGGAAGAGATGAGGATGGAGTTGCTCTTTATGTAAAAGAGCTGTTTGCTTGCTCATAACTCCAGTATAAAACTGGAGATAGGCCTGTTGAAAAATCTCAGGGTTCGGGTCAGAGGGGAGAGCAATAAGGGTGATGTCATGGCAGCTGTCTGGTATAGACCACCAGACCAGGAGGATGAGGCTTTCCTTCAAACAACTGGTGGAAATTTCTGGATGACAGGCCCTAGTTTTCATGGGGGACTTGTCACCCGGACCTCTGCCAGAGGGAAATACAGTAGCGCACAGGCAATCCAGGAAGCTGGAAAGTGTTAGAGAGACCAACTAAGGGTCATGCTCTTCTTGACCTGTTGCTTGTAAACAGGGAAGAATTGGTGGGGCATATAGTGGTGAATGGCAACTTGGGCAGCAGTGATCATGAGATGATCGAGTTCAGCATCCCAAGGAAAGGAAGGAAGAGCAGCAGCAGCACAGTAAGGACCCTGAACTTCAGAAAACAAAGAATTTGCCTCACTCGAGGAATTGATAGGATCCCCCAGGAGTCCAGGAGAGCTGGCTGTACTTTAAAGAAACCTTACTGAGGGTGCAGGAATGAGCCATCTTGATGTACAGGAAGACTAGCAAGTATGGCAGAAGACCAGCTTGGCTTAGCAGGGAACTCAGTTAGCTAAAACTAAAAAAGGAAGCTTACAGGTGGAAACTTGGCCAAACAACTAGGGAGGAGTATAAGAATATTGCTGGGGCATGCAGAGATGAAGTCAGGAAGGGCAAAGCTCAATTGGAGTTGTAGTTAGCAAGGGATGTGAATGGTAACAAGAATGATTTCTACAAGCATGTCAGGAACAAGAACAGGATCAGAGAAAAAAAAAAAAAAGTGTGGGTCCTTTACTGCATGAGGGAGGCAACCTAGGAACAGAGGATGCAGAAAATGCTAAAGTACTTGATGCTTTTTCACTTCAGTCTTCACAGGCAAGGTCAGCTCCCAGACTACTGCACCTGGAAGCACAGTCTGGGGAGGAGGTGAGCAGCCAGCCGTGGCAAAAGAACAGGTTCAGGAATATTTAGAAGAGCTGGATGTGTACAACCCCATTAGGCCAGAAAGTGTACTTGAGGATGCTGAGGAAGTTAGCTGATGCAATTGCAGAGCCATTGGCTATTATCTTTGAAAAGCCTGTGGTGATTGGGAGAGGTCCTCGATGATTGGAAGAGGGCAAATACAATTCTCATCTTTAAGAAAGGGCAGGAGCAGGAACCAGGGAACTACAGACCAGTCAGTCTCATCACAGTCTCTGGAAAATCATGAAGTAGGTCGTCATCAAATCCATTTAAGTATTTGTAGGAGAAGGTGATTAGGAACAGTTAGCATGGATTCACCAAGCACAAGTAATGCCTGACTGTTTTGATTGCCTTCTATTACAGGATGACTGGCTCCGAGGATGCAGGAAGAACAATGGACATGGCATCCTTTGATTTTTAGCAAGGTTTTTGATATTGTATTCCACAACACTCTTGCAAGCAAGCTAAGGAAGTACGGGTTGGATGAATGGACAGAAAGGTGGAACCTGGCTGGATTGTCAGGCTCAAAGGCTAGTAATCAATGGCTCAATGTCATTCAGAAGCCAGTATTAAAAAGTGGAGCGCCCCAGGGGCTGGTTTTGTTCAATATCAACAATCTGGGAAATGGGATAGATTGCACCCTCAGCAAGTTTGCAGATGACACCAAGATGAGGGGTGGGGGCGAGTAGTAGATATGTGGAGGGTAGGGTTAGGATTCAGAGAGACCTCAACAAATTGGGGGATTGGGTCAAAAGGAGTCTCATGGAGTTCCACAAGGACCATTAAAAAAAGTCCTGTACTTAGGATGGAACAGTACCATGCACAAGTACAGGCTGGGGGCTGACTGACTAAGCAGCAGCTCTGCAGAAGAGGACCTGGGGGTTACAGTAGACAGTAAGCTGAATATAAAAGCTAACAGTGTGCCCCTGTTGAGAAGAAGGCTAACAGCACACTGGCTTGCATTGGCAGAAGTATTGCCAGCAGATTGAGGGAAGTGATTATTTCCCTCCATCTAGCTCTAGCGAGGCAACATTTGGAGTACTGTGTCTAGTTTTCAGCCCCCCTCCCACTAAAAAAAGATCAGGACTCTTTCCAGTTGGTCCACCAGAGGGCAACAAGAATGGTTGGAGGGCTGGGGCACATGATTTCTGAGAGGCAATAGAATTGGGCTTATTAAATCCCCCCCTCAATCTTTTCTCCAGACTAAATAACAGCCTTCAACTACCTGAGGGTGGTTGCAAAGAGGGTAGAGCTAGAATGTTCTCAGTGATGGCAGATAATTTGACCAGGAGCAATGGTTTCAAGGTGCAGCAAGGGACATCTGGGTAGATAGGAGGAAGAACTCACAGGGAGCATTGTAAAGCCCTGGGAGAGGCTACCCAGAGAGCTGGTGTAATTTTAAGATGCAGGTAGACAAAGCATTGGCTGGGATGATCTAGTTAGGGCTGGTCCTGCTTTGAACAGGGGGTTAGACTAGGTGACCCCCTGAGGTCCCTTCCAACCCTAATTTTCTATGGGTGCCTATACATATGCAGTACGGCTACAATTATAACATGTCAGAGCAGGCTTGATCGAGTCTGCTGGAGCGTGGTAATTACTGCACTCTAGCACGTCTCAGTGATGAAAAATGGCAACAGGGGCACTTTAACTAAAGCTCATTCAACAAGCTTTAGTTAAAAACACCTCTGCAGCCATTTTTTTAGTATGGAGAATCTGATACAAGATGCTCCAGGTGCTTCAGACTGTCAAGGATATCATTCTTGGGATGCACTTTCATCCCTTTTTAAAAGATGGGTACTTCATTTGCTTCTCTGTCATGTGGAACCTCATCCAGCTGCTACAAGTTCTGAAGCCAATGGCTCTGCAATCACTTCAGTGAATTCTTTAGTCCTCTAGGACACATCTCATTGAGCCCAGATTGGTCAAGTAATTTCCAACCTATTGGGCACATCCACATATGCCCCTCCACCCCCCATGGGGCAGTTGGTACTGTGCTGTTGCTTAGTACTGAGGAAGTACTAAGTAATGGTGCAGTAACAGCCATTACTATGCTGTCCCAGCAGTGCACATTATTTTTTAGACACTAAGTCGCCATAGTGAGGTAGCTCATCGCTAGAGCAATGTAGCATCAATATCATGGTTTGTGCCTGCTGAGGCTACGTCACCACGGCTTCTCTAGATCTAGGTCAATTATCTCCATCCCTAGTGTTACTGCTAAACTATGCTTGTCATCTGATAACTAAACCTTATTCAGGAAGACTGAAGTAAAAAGACACTAAATACCTCTCCCTTCTTTGCACCACCCATTATTAGATTATCCTAATGCTTTCTTAAGTCTTCCTCTTACAGCTACCAAAGGGCATAAAATAGCAAAAAAAAAAAAAAAACCAAAACAAAAAACAAAAAAAACCCTAAAAAACACCATTTTACAAGTATGTTAGAAGTATCTCAATTCATGCATTGGCCTTTTCCCTGTGTGCCCATGAAGTATTCTTATACTTTTTCCCTAGTAATATAAACAAAGTTTCCACTTTTCTTAAGTTTCATTCTTGAATTGTAACTCATTGAAGAGTTTGCCATTTAGGTAGTCAATATCTTGCTGCATTTCCCTCTCTTTTCTTCATAAAGCATGTTCTTGCACTACCAATATAATCTTTTTTTGGACTCCCTTTCCCCTCCCAACCTACTTGTCTCAGTTGAGACCAGTCCACCCATTCTCAGAGTATGTTGGCTTCTTTGAAATTGAAGAGATTCAGGGAAATTAAGCAAATCTGAAGTTGAAGGGATATCCTTTGCTGCTTTTCACATATTAAATTCCAGACTCTCTTCAAGACAGTACATCTTTAAACACATTTAATATAACCCAAAATGTTCAACATAAACAAGTTTGTTTTCATAAAGATGTGTTGTTACATAAAAACAAGTTGTTACATAAAGATGGACAAACAGGAGGATGTATTCTGTTAATTAGCCTCCATAGCAAGAAGAGACATGGTTGGTAAGTCTGCAGAAAACTGAAAAACACTGTCATGTCCCATGACGGTAAAAATATGAATGACAAATTCTGAAGGACATTCTAAGAAACTATGTAAGTATACAATGACGCAGCAATGCAGCTGCTGACAGATGAAACTCTTATGCTCTCTCTAGGTGTACCATTGATTTTTCCAACACAGAAAATATATTTCTGCTCAAAGTATACATGAGACAACTTGCTTACCTTGGCATACATTATGTTCACTTTGCTCATACCCAGTTGCACATTGTATTTGATGAGTTGGATTTGGAGGTCCTTGCTGAACATCCACAGGTGTACGTCGAATTACACTGTTCCGTCCACCAGCGGAATCAGCAGTTGCTGCATCTTGCTCATTTACAATAATTTGGGCTGTTCTAGGTAGACAGAGGTATCCTCCATAGTGGTTAACACATTTCATCCCACCCAA